TGGCGGCTGGGGTGCCCCTTCCCCGGGCAGCAGGGTGGCACCAGCCCCCTGGGCTCTGCTCTGCAGCCAGGGCTCAGGACGCTGCGACGCGCTTTCTGTTCTTTAAATTTCCTTCCTGCCTTTTTTCCTTTGTGCTTCTAACTGAGAACACTTCTGATTCTTCTTCTACCACCCCCACTTCCCTCCCCCTGTCTGTGTCTGTTCCCCTCCCCTTTCTCTGGGCTCCCCTTGTTATTTTCTCCTCTTGGCTCACGGGAACCTCTTTTCCTTAGACCACCAAGTTTTTGTTTATGTCGATAACTGCAGGGCAGCACCCCGGGGAAGGCGAGCGGGAGTGACCGCCAGGCACAGCCCCACCCACGCTTCACCGAGCACCCCACCCACCCTGGCAGCAGGTCGAGGTAAGCAGCACCAGCTGCTGCAGCAGTCCTGGGGTCCTCCGTGAGGCAACCGTCTGGCATCACAGCTGGCTTGGGGTGATTCTGGCCACCGGCTCCAGGCCCCCTGGGCTGGCAGGGCTGGCTCTGGATCCCAGAAGCAGGGCAGTTTCTCTTGACTGCTGGCACAAGGCGGGAGGGAGCTTGGCAGGCTCTGACCACATACCAGTGGCCCACTAGTGGGATCAATCAGGAGGCACCAGCCTGGTCTAGATCTTGCTCCAGGCCTCCCTTGCAGCCTTCACCGTTGGTGTGTGCTGCAGCAACGCTCGCACTGCGCTGATCGGCGTGGCACAGCGTGTGGCACAGCGTGTGGCACAGCGTGTGCCCTGCGCTGGCTGGCACGGGGCCACTGCAACGGCAGGCGGGGATGAGAGCAGGGCCTGATTCAGACTTCATGGCTCAGATGGTAGCAGTTGGTCGCTGCACTCACGCACTGTCGGGTGGGGAGGAAGAGAGTGGCTCCTGCTCCTGACCTGTCTTTCAGATGACATCAGCCTCTTTTTATGTCCTTCAGGCTTTCCTCATCTGCTCTCAAACTCCCAAACGCTGAGAAGCCTGCCTTCAGCTCCACCCTCAGCTCAGCCCCTCAGCTCCCAGCCTCCCCCCTGGCCAACGGTTCCACTGCCCACCCTTCACACCTTCCTTCCTGCAGCAGGGAGAAGGGGCCCAGCCAGGTCACCCCTGGTTCCTCCAGAAAAAGGCGTCGAAAGCAGCAGCATGGAGCTGTGAATGCTGATGATGAAGTCCCCAAACCCCCCAGGAAGAAGAAACTTGCTCAGGGAGGCTTGGTGTCCCTTGCAGAGAAGGAGGTGGCAGGCAAGGGTGACCAGGAGGAGCTGGGCTATGGGGACCTGGAGCACAGGCCCAAGCAGCAAGTGTCAGACCCCACTGAGCACACCTACCCCCTCAAGAAGAAGAAGAAGAAAAAGAGGAGAATGGAGGAGACGGAAGAGTGCTGCTCTGGGATGCTGTCCTCAGGCAGGTGAGGGGCTTGGATCCATGCAGATAGCTCAAACTTCCCATTGTGGCCTGGCTGGAGCGAGCTGACCCTGCTGCCTTCCCCAGCTCTAGGGAGGCCGAGCCGGAGCCCTGGAGGACAGGGGCACGGCGGAGCGCGGGGCCCGGGGCTGGCGAG